TACATGTTTGCCCAACATGTGCACATGCTCTCGTACTCGTACTCGGCATTTAAATAATATTTTTTATCTTAATTTAATATGCAAATGTCAAAATGTTTCCAACCAAATTGAATTTTAAATTTAACAAGCCCAAAGATCTTTGGCCAGAAGTCGTTCGGAACCATTTAGATGTCACAGCAGCATGGACAGAGAAAGGTTTTCGGCAATTGAGCAGAAAATTAACTTTTGACCTGGTTTTATGGGACGCTTTTTTGTGTTTCTGTCTTCTTGTCTTTTGATTGTTTTGTGTAAGCTAACGATAAGATTGCAGTCCCCCAAGCAATTGTTAAGAGAAAATCAATTTTCAAGCTGTGAAGGCAACGTCAGTTTGGCTAATTGCTTTCGTATTAACCCCATAGGAATCGTGATATTTTATATAAAACTTAAACATTTTTTAGACCTAATAGCTTTGGTTGTCAGATTGATTTTTTCACTTTTATTTCCGCTCACTCAAATGCCAGATTTAATTGTTTACTGTTTTAAAAAATTCGCCAGAGACCTAATAATTTGTAGTTGAAGTAGTTATCCAAAGTCACGCAATCAAGGTACATGAAAAACCTTTTAGGAAAAAGTTTTCCAGAAACAATAAATGTTCTCATATACCTTGAATTGCACTACCTACCATTTAAATTGATTTTATGAGACGTAATCACTTTTAAATAGTAAAATGGGTTTCAAAAGTATGCTGTGAATTAATAATAGTCCACTTCCTTGCTCTTGTGTTACAAATAAATTGTTGCATACTTTTAGACACCTATTTTGACATAAATAAATGTGATTTGAGAAATTCATATATTTCAGCCTATAAAAAATTAATAAAATTGAAATTTGGCCCAAAAATGCTCTCCGGAGGTCTGGGGTTAAGCGAATCAAGCACTTTTGAGCCAAAAGGCCAACAATCCGCTAAATGACGCGACCGTTGCAGCGCGCGGCATGCAAAGGACCCGAGGTCCTGCCACCTGCCAGGTGGTCAGCACTTTCAGTCCCACTTCCACTCACCTTAATTGAAATGTCTGTATGATGTCGCCGTCCATTTGGATGAACGTGTTGTTCTTGGCGAAAATGAAAGTTTTGCCTTGGCCCGTCTCCGCGAAAGTCAGCTCGGGGCCGCGCTGTTCGATGGGCACTGGGGTCGTTCCATCGCCGCCCTCTGCCCCTCCGCCCATTCCGTCCGGCGACTGGGCTGGACTTTGGGTATATGGCAAACCGAGGAGCATGGAACTCTCCGTGGTGCTCGGCTCACGGGTGGTGGACTGCAGGAACGGCGGCAGAGTGTCTGCAGGAGATGTGACGTCAATTGGGATTAATATTGGGTCGCCCGAGGTAGGAAAATTAATAGAGCAAAAATACTTAGTTAGTAGCCAAGGGGTTGATTAATCTATTTAATTTTTATAATGTTCTTATTCTTTTTTTTAGACGACCCATTAATGTTGGCTTTTTATCATTCTTTTTTTGCTTATTAAATGCCACAAAAACAATTCATTGATCAGGATTTATTACTTTTTTTGTATTTAATATATAAAAGAACTGATTAATAAAAATAGAGTGTTTAATTGCCATGAAATACATTTGATATATTGGACTTAATTCCATTTAAAATAAATATTTATGACTTCCTATTGTAAAAAAACAATGTTATGAAAGCAATTTTAAATTATTAAAAATTGTTTCTAAATGTTGAATTGTGTTTTGATTTTGTTTAGATATGTGTTTAAATATATATATCAATTTTTTAATATTATTTTAGATAGGTTTGTTATTTTATATTTCTTCAACAGACCAAAAAAGATTAAATTGTTGTGGCTAAAATTATTGTTTTTAAAATTTTTAACAAATTCTTTACGAATTCCAAATGATTGTTTCTTTTAAATTTAATAAGTTTAATTTGAGGTACCAAATCCAATATTTTTAAAAACATTGTTTTAAAATCTTACGTGGTCCGCCGATACAGTGGAACAAACACTCCGCTTCGGTGCCAAAGCGGTTCTGCGGATTTCCTTCACAACCGCCCCAAATGAAGTTGGTGCACTCGTTGGTGGTTGGCTCGTAGCGCCACTTGTAGATGTACTGCTTACAGGGACCCGGATCCCCGGGACCAGCACACTTCTCGTACTGATTGTTCTTTTGCCCTTGGATCATGGCGGAGTTGTTGCCGCTGATGCCTCCGAGGCCGCTGTTACTGCCACCGATGACCACCGGCGAACTGCCCGCAGAGGTACCCGATCCTCCTCCGGAATCCGGTACTGATTGTCCGCCGGGATTGCTGCCGGCCAATCCGCCGACCCCGCTCAGGCTTATATTGCTGCTCCCTAGATTGCTGGGATTTCCTGTAGCCAAAATGGGCGAAATCCCACCCCCAGCCACCGCTGCATCCGTTGCGGTCATGTTGGGCAGGCTGAGGGCGGAGGTGGTGGGGCAAATGAGGAGGGGCAATAGTGCCAGGATATAAGCAAAGGCCATTTTGAGGACGCAGGACAGGCAAAGGCCTACTTTTCCTTGGAAACTGTAACAAAAGTAGAACATAATGGGTTAACTCAGACTGGAAATTGTGTTGGCTTTCTTAGACAATAAGCTGCAAATATTTGCCTAAGCAGATTTAAACTTTTAGTTAGTAAGAAACTTTTTTTTTGTGTTTACTGTTTTAGATAAAAATATTATCATATTAAAATGCATCAAACTTTAAACTCCCCAAAATATTTTATATTATTAAGTTTATCTTATTAGTTTCAAGAAAACCTTACACAGGTTAATGTAGTAATGACTGAAAAATATACTGCTTGTTAAGATTTATTTAGCTTTATCGCAAGGAAACCGTTACAATAAAAATATATTTTCTTGTTTAACTATTTATATCTCTATCCCTTGAAGACACCAAAAATACCCCCCTTTTGCAGACTAAATTGAGTGCCTTCATCCCAAACTGACATCTTTTTTGCGCCCCACCCTCCGTTTTGTTCATTAGATTTCCTTGTAATTGCACAATAAATTTACCAAGGCAATTTACTTGCATGTCACAAGAGCACAGAGCAAATCTTCTCAACAGAGACATCAGAGCTTATGATTCCGGCTACTAAAGAAGTTTACTATTGTCATGTGCGGCACTAAAATCCCATTTACATCATCGTGCTCATCATCATCAGTCAATGTCTCTGTTCCTCGGAGGCGACGATGCTGCATTTCTTGATGCCATTTAGCGAAGAGGAAAACGAACCAAGTTTTCTGCTTTCACTTCCGCCGGAAATGTGACACACACTCATATATATTTCTATATATACGTATGAAAGACACTGGCTAGAAGAAGACGCATGAGCTTGGGTTGATTTACAAGTAGCTTAGCACCGTCGAGCGAAAAAAGTGTCAAAAATTTCAAAATAATGATGCGCACAGTTTACACTAAATGGAGTAGCAGGGAAGAGATATGGGAAGTGAGCGGAAACTAGAAAGGAAATAGGAAATTAAGTTTTTCGTACACTCCCAACCCGGAAAACTTTGAGAGCTTTTCCATGGCTCAGATTATGGGTTTTAGACCGAAAAGTTGGCTCAGCTTCAGCTACGGGTGGCAGTTTTTCCCTTGTTCTGTTCTTCTTTTTTTTGTCTGCCATTTCCGTTCATAAGCAATTTTTAATTGTGGCTTTCGTTGCCCGGGCAGCATGAAAAATGAGCGCAGGGTCGTGCAGCCGGACGGAGTTCATGCGAATTAATAAACCTCAAAGTGTTGGTGTGGCATTAGACACGGGTCCGGGTGAGGATCGGGTTCCGGGTCCGGGTATTAGGCCGGGTCAACACGGAGAAAAGAGTGCGAGAGACGAAAATAGGAATAAGGTTTTGGGAAAAAACCAAACAAAATTAGCAAAGTTCATTAGAAGTAGAAAAATCAAAGTTGATTTGTTGTTTTTTTTCTCTTAAAAAAATCATTTTTAATCTTAAACAAAATTTTAAAATTGTTCTTGGGGGCTTAAATTATGTTTATAAAAATTCTAGTGCTATCTCCGTTTTTTAACATTTATTGTAAACATTTTAGAAATTAATTTTCTTTACATTTTTAAATACCAAACTTATTTGTGTTTTAAGAAAATTTTTAAGATGATAAAATACTGTTTATAAAAATACCTGTGAAAATAATTCTTTTTTTTATTTTTTTCCTAATTTTAAACGTACTTAAAACCCTTCAAAAATAAATAAAAGGTATTCAATTGAAATCTAAATATTTCCAAATTCTATCATAAATTCCATTGCAACATTTTTTTTTATGACTTTAAAATTTATTCATATAAAACCATATAATAAATTCGGAATTCCATTCATCATCTTATAAATAGATTTTTCCCGCAGTGAAAGTAGCATGCTGGCAAAAATTATTGATGCATATGCCGGGCTGTCCGGGACGTGCGTGCCATCCTGTCGTTGAGTGGGCTGTCCAGAGAGGGTGGAATGGACCATCCTTTAGAGATGGATGGCCCAAAAATTGCATTGGATTTTGGCTGTGTAGCTGCATGACCAAGAAGTTTGCTGGATGTGTCTCTCTCCGCAAATCCCTCTCTCGGTCCTTTTCGGTACCCGATTTCATGGGGTCAGGCAAGCGCAAAAGTTTACCTAACTTTGGCCCGCCAAAGAAAACCATTGCCTGTTGGCTATGCCATATGCGAAGGATTTTGGCCTAAAGTGCATTAATGTAGCGGCACGAAGGAGGAGAAGGAAGCCGAAACAGAAAACTTGGACCGATAAACCATCTGTTACCTGTGTGTGGGCAGGCGTTTAGACACCTAAGTCCTGCGGCGCTCAGGTAAAACGGTCGCCTCACCCCAAAGCCGCGAAAAATCGGAAAACCCGCAGGACAGGCAAAAAACAGATAAACAAGACCTGGCATGCACATAACAAGAGGCGGAGGAGGTATCCTTGAGGTCCATTTAAAAACCCACCCAAACTCAATCCTGCCACTCATTCGCCAGTAAGCCATCGAGATGGAAGCATCAGTCGCCTACGCTTTATTTTTACACCGCCAGGAGCTGCAGCGCCGCCAGATGCTCTACGTCCAAGTGTCCAAGACCAAAATCCAACTGACCAAGGAGCTGATAGCCGAGCAAAAGCAACGCCTGGCCACCTGCTCACCGGAGGATCTGCAGATCCTGAGCAGGGAAACGCAGTTCAAACGGCAACTTCAGCAGAAACTTAAGCACCGGAACAAACAACTGAAAGCGATTGCAAAGCAGCAGGAGAGACGAGGATAGGGAAAAGGATAAGCGAAAGAGGATATTTTGACTTCCCCTCAGGGTTAACTCACTTTAATTAGTTTTAGCTTAACGCAAATGATGTGTGCCTTTCCATAGTTTAGTTTTGTTTTAGCTCAAAGAAATAAAATTTCCTATGCAAATCAAGCCAAGTTGTGTTTTGAGAATACTCTCTAAAAAGTTTGGGTTGTATTGGAATTTCTCTTCTATTAATAAATAAATTAAATTTTCTTTGTTTATTTAATAAACAGAAAATTTAAAGCATCGTTTAAAACATAAATAATATTTATTTGTTTACTTTGCTGACATTTAATATTTATAAAAGTCATTAAAAGTATTTTGCTTGGATAGGCTTGAAAAAATTAAATAAATTGTGAATACATTTTATTTTGCTTATGCGGTTATTCCACTACATTGTTCGGGTCATTCATTAGTGCAATTTTTTCTCAGCATATACAATTTTACGTAGGTGCGAGCAAGACAGATATATGTCGGCTGCAATAAGCAATTAATGAGCAAATTGTAAAAACCGATGGGCACTTTTGGTATTTTTTTTTTGGTGTTGTAAAATGCCTCAATACGGTACTATCTGAACCGATGAGCAATGAGCAAAATTTAATCTAAAAAGTACAATTTTGCTCATTTATTAGAGCTACTGCGAAATGGGATCAATAATAAAAATTGATTTGTTTTTTTTTGGTTGAATTGCCAAACCTTTTGCGTCTAATAAGGTGCTATAAACAAATATGAACAATACAAAAATTATTTTAGTGGCCTAATTACTCCGTTGCCAACTAAAAATAACTCGCATATTTCTATATAAAGACATAACTGCGTCTATAAATTTATATAAAATTGCCTTCCTAAAAATTAATGCCGGGTATGATAAAATTAAAAACAATTACAGATGTACTTTAAACAGCCCAAAACAATTTAAAAACTTGGTAAAAGTGTCTGATTTTTTGGCAACACACACTATTAATTTTACAGCCTTCAACCTTAATGATTTAACCAGTCAAAGTTATTTGAATTATAAAGTTTAAATTTAACGTCTAAATTTTAAGTGACCATGCCATCTTATCCAAACAAATCCCAAAAATAGCATATATATTTGTCCCTTTCTAAGCCTCCAATGAATGCTCTAATGAATGAGCCAAACAATGTAGTGGAATAACCGCATTAGGGGATGTTTTTTCAAATTGCTCATAATTTAGCTGGACAATTATTTCTTTTATTTATTATTTTTCCAATGATGTTTCATTTAAAAAATTTAATTATCTATTTATATTTAGTCATAAAGTGCTCTTAATTTAGCTGGACAATTATTTATTTAATTTATTATCTTTGCAGTAAAGTTTTATTTGAATAATTTAATGATCTATTTTTATTTATTGCACCAAACAATTTAGTTGCTCCCATCATTTAATAAATAATCATTTATCTCATAAAATCTCCCTTTTTATTGGAAATTTAAAACCATTTATCAGCTTGCAGGCGAATTGCTGTAATTCAATCATTCACTATATCCTGCCAACCACTGAGCCATTTAATTTAAACACTTTCCATTTTTTACTAACCCCATTAAGGGTATTCATTGATCGATGCATTTTCCGCGAAACTTTTCGCACTTCTCCCATCTCTCTCTTGCCATTTCCTACACGCTTTTTACCGTTTTCACAGCAAACGCAAAGCGATTTAAATTGAGCTCGCGTACGCTGCACAGTAACAACAAAAGCAACAACAACAACAAAAATAACAAGTACAACAACTAGGAGAAATAACAACAAAACTAAGTAATAACAGCAGCCTCGGGGAATCCCCTTTTTCCTTCCCACCTTCACCAAACACCTCCCGCTAAATTACACGTTTTGTGCTCAACGTCGACGCCTCCCGCGATATAGCTATATATATATATACCTATATATACATTCAGCTATAGGGTGGAAAAAAGAAGGAGACAGTGGGAAAAGAAAGCACACAAGGCTGGGTTGAAAAAAAAGGGGGAGGGCGAATGAAAGCAAAGTGAAGTCAAATTAAATTAAATGACAGATGTCTGACATTTTGATAGTCGTGCGTGAGGCTCTATATTCCTTGGCATGTCTGTGTGTGTGCAATATAAACACATGCAAATAGTGCACTAAAAAATAAAAAATCTATTTTAAATTGAAAAGATTTTATAAATGTAAAAAAACTTGTTCTGCTAGTATTTTATTTATTGACAAATATTTAGTATTTTTGGCAGTCTTTATATTATGTTATATTATTAATAATATAATAATTTATTATCTTAAAAAAGTAATAAAAAAGTATTTTCTTCAATATTGATAATTGTAAAACGTTATTTTTCCCAGTGCACAAACGTTTGTGTATGTAAATGTCAAGTATCGCAAGGCAAAATGCACATGCACTTGTACAGGGACAATGGCGGGGATCGATGGGCCTCGTGGGGGTTTGCAGGGGGTTTATTCCTCTACGATTGTGAGAGTTCGTTGTTGTTGGTGTCGCGAACATGTCTCCCAAGTGTTGGTCGCGTAAGGGTAATGAATTAAAATAACTTGATTGCATGAAATTGAACGAATTGTTGCCCAAGAAACTTGGGACATAAAATGGAAATGGGAAATTGGTTGTGGGGGCAGGAAGGGAAAATCGTGTTCTGAGCGAATGCAGCTCGCGGAAATTGCAATCCTTGTGCGTCTTTTGTCGTTGTGTGTGTGAAAAATATTTACTGAAATTTGTATATTAAGTGACGACGACAATGGCAAAGACAACAACAATGGTCTTTTGTCATTGTTGTTTTAGTCTTTGATGCTGTTAGCGTCACGGTCGCGTTTGCCAAGTGTGAAGTATATATTTTCCACTATGTGTATACATATGTGTGTTTTCTACAATAGAAGTCAGGATGCATGAATGAGCGCTGCTAACTGCGTGGGAGGATTTCAGGACCAAGGAAGGAACTAGCAAGACAAAAGGACACGAGAAAGGAGGTGGATGAGGAAGGAGAAAAGAGGAAAGACGGAAGGATGGTCGAGAAACAAAGCGAGTGGTGCACACTCATAGAAATTTTTACCCTAAATCGCCCTAAAAAACTGACTTTTCGCCCGTGGATTTAGAAAATCGCCCATAAATCGTATCCGCTGGCGATTCGCCCGTGTATTTAGAAAAATTTTCTAAAAAATCCCGATGGAAATTTGGTTTAATTTAGGGTGATTTTTCTTGAAATAAGAAATATTTTCCTTTTTTTAGGGTGATTTGCCCTAATTTTAAGGTGTATTTTTCTAAAAATTAAGGACGAATTTTCTGTTTTTAAAGGCAAATGCCCTAAAAAAATTAGACAAATTAAAAAAATTCGAGTTTGAGCATGCTTAACTGAATTTGGGAAGCATGTATTTTTTAATCGTGTATATTCTGGGAACTGGGACTGCTTTAATTACACAAAACCGGCGGAGGACACCGTTTCATATTGTTGTATTGGTGTGTAGCTTATATGGGAGCTGCGCTAAGAGGGGGGCCCGATCTATACAGAACAGCCGTTAGAACTGAAAAATCATGTTTGTAAACGAATTAGGGAAATAAATATGAGGAGAAAAAACTACTTACTTTTTTTGGTCATTGCGACAATCGAACCCACGACCTCTCGGTTTAGAGTCTAACGTCCTAACGCTGCACCACAGACCCATCGCGCAAGACGACGAACAAACTCTGCACATATCTTATTTTCTTGAGGTCTACGTTATAATATGACTAAAGGCAACTAAACCGTATAAAGTATGCTTTTAACTCAGAACTCCCATACGTTTTTAAGGTTTAAAGACTACTTTAATTTAAAATTCGGACGAAAAAATGTCCTCAGTATTATAATGTTTACAAAAAAAAAAAACATAAAAATCAAGTTGAATCACACAGGGTTCGAACCCACAACCTTAGTCCTCATATAGCAAAGTTGAAAGCGCAAGTGATTAGACCGCTGGGCTACCGAATTTCACACTTTTGGAGTGATTTTTAAGGCAAATCGCCCTTGTATTTAGAAAAATTTTAGAAAAAAAATTAGGGCAATTCGCCGTTGGATTTAGAAAAGGTCAAAACGAAGCAAATCGAAAAAACCGCCCTAAATATTAGAAAAATAGAAAAATTAACCCTAAAAATATTTTTTTATGGTCACCTGCCTTAAATTTATGGCAAATTTGTCGTGAAAATAGAAAATTTTTCTCAGTTCAAAGGCGAAAAATTTTTTAGGGCGATTTTCTAAAATGTAGAAAAATATTTTTATGAGTGCAGGCATTTAGCCGTTGTGTTCTGCTTCACTAGACGTAATGTGACTCAACTTCAACTTCACAGTAAAAATCTGTTATATAAAACATCCTTCCAATTTTGACTTTATAAATATTTTCTGACATTATTTATATAATTATTAAAACATATTTTTCTGTAATTTTTCTGCAAAGTCAAATATAATTTCTAAAATTAGTAGATAAATACGAAAAGGCAATGACAGCGAAATCCACTCGACATTTAAGTAAAAAATTTAATTTGCCTAATTAATAAATGAATAAATTAACCAATTTAATCTAGGAGGGATATAACTCAACTTTAAATTTCGCCAGAGACACATTTCAATTAATATTAATAACCAAGACACAAATACAATGCAAGAAGACGGACTCAGATGAGAAAAATACCTAGTTCATATTTATATTTCCTACTAAAATCCATTATTTTTAAATTTATATTTAACAATACAAAAAATATTAAAAGAAAAATCCTAAAACAAATTTTAAAAACGGGATAAGTTGCTTTTATTTATTTTTCCTACTTGAAATATAATTTCCTTTATATGCAGATTCTAAAAAACTCTTTATTAAATATTTCAAATGTATTTAAATCCTCATAATTTCTCTTTTGCTTTCAAAAACAATTTCTCACTATATTTTATAGTCACCACTCACTGTAGAGACAAAGACAAAGCAGACAAGATTTGTGCGAGCATTTTCCCACTAACAAAT